CTATCGTAACGAGTTACCATGCGAACCACTGAATGGTCCGGAGACGTGGGTCACCGATTCCCTAAGATGCCTTTTACGTTTCAGACACGACAACTGCTTCGTGGCAGTCATATATCGCTCCCCATCGTTCACTCCAGAGTTGGGTTCTCACCTAATATCATCACTGACTAAATGCTTTCTCCCAACTTACAGCCACGTTCTTATTTCCGGCGATTTCAACGTGACAGACTGGGAAAGCTCAGCATCACCCAGCGAAACATACAAGGCCGAACTGCAAGACCTGATGGTAAGTATCCCGCTCTACAAGCACATCAGCTCACTTACCAGGTACAGAGCTGATAACACACCATCGGTACTTGACCTCGTCCTTACAAAGGATGAACTCATGATCGACAAGCCATTTATAGACACCCCACTGGGGTTAAGCGATCATGTCACCATACTTTTTAACTATGTGTGTTACGCTGAATATCCTGAAGAACACACAGAACTAACACGTACTATCACACATTACAACATCCTGAGCAACCTAGTGGAGACGACCAATTGGGAGTTCTTGAAAGGTGACTCACCTGGTAGCGCTTAGATTGTTTGTTGGACGCTTCAGCAATCTAATCGTAACTGCTTCGAAAATAAAGAGGGTTCGCTCCACCAAGCCGTCGTCTTTCCTCAGAAGTGGTATGCGTAAGCGCATGTCAATTAGGAACGTAGCCTGGCACACCTACAGAGCTTGTCCTTTTCTCGAAACCTGGAGCGATTACGTGACCCAGCGCAACCACTGTAACATGCTTGTCCGTGAGGACAAATTCGCTCACCGACAACATTTGGCCTGTAATTTTGCCAACAACAAAAACTCCTATACAAGCATGTTAACACCATCCGGAAAGTGAAGTTCGGTATCCATCCACTTAACACACCAGTCGAAGTGGCACAGAGTGCAGAAGAGGCAGCCAAGTCCCTACGAATGCAGTATGCCCCAACCTTCCAAGTAGAGGTCCGTCATTGTTACATACCCACATCCCTATCCCCAACTTCAACGCTCACTAACATCGATTCTACTGCCACAGCTGTGTTCAAGATACTGTTCTCATTATGCACGTACACCTCTTCCGGAATCGACTATATTCATCCAAGGGCGCTGAATGTAGCAGCAACAACGCTAGCCGGGCCATTATCGCATTTCTTCCAAACGTGCTTGGATAAACAAAGTGTGTCTACTATGTGGCAACATGGCGTAATCACTCCAATTTTCGAAAGCGATAATCGCTCGGAATCCGCCAACTATCGCCCAGTGTTCCTCCTCCCTGTGTTCTCAAAGCTAATGGAGGCAATCATCGTTGAGGCTTTAGTAGACCAGCTAGAAAGCCACAATAGCATAGCACCCGAGCAACACGATTTGCGACAGCACCGTTCGTGCAATACCAACCTACTGATTGCACGCAGTAGTTGGACGGAAACGGCCGATACAGGCAGAGAGGGTAGATGTCATTTACCTCGACTTCCACAAAGACTTCGAGCGACTGGACCACCGCAATCTGCTTCACAGGCTCGAAAGCTATGGTGGGTGATCTAGTCCTTGGGGGGATCAGGAATTTCCTGCAGGGTTGGCAACTGCAGGTCAGAGTTCGAAGTGCACTGTCCGGTCCGACTTATATCGAAGGATTAGTTCTGGGGTTGCGTCTGTTTCTCGTGTACATTAAGGAGGTCACGAGTTCCATTAGTCCATATTTCTTGTTGTTCGCTGACGATGTGAAGATGTGGCGGACCATCGCTGACCCAGCAGCTCATGATGCACTTCAGCGAGACCTGGACAGAGCGTATGGGTGGTGTTGTGTATGAAAACTCAAAGGCACGAACCGAAGTAAGAAGGTGGCTCCGGTAAACGAACTACTGTGATCTGATAAGTGTCTAACAACGTGAGTGCATTAAGGTGTTGCAAGGAGAAGGATGAAGCAATGGGGAAGCAGAAAATTAGGCGCTTTGTGTGTATATGTGGGGTGTTGTGCACGTGTCTGTCTAGACTAGTCGTCAAGCATGCTGACCCAATACACAACGCTCCAAAAGCTGCTTCAATTCCATTTGGGAAAGTGTAAGGTTGTTCATTTCGCCAACAGCCGAACATTACATACAAGCTTGGAGATCGCATTCTGCAAGTAGTGACCTTGGGGCACTAGTTCAGGCTGACCTGAGCTGCTCAGAACAATGTGTGAAGGCGTCAAAGGCTGGAAAGCGACACGTTAGCATGCTGCGGAGAGCATTTGTACGGTTTGTTTCATCTGTCTGTTCGGATTTATTGAACGCCTACGTGCGGCCTCATGTGGAATACGCGATCCAGGTTTGGCAGCCCTGGCACAAGCAAGACCTCGCAGCTCTCGAGACTCCATAGCGAACAGCCATGAAGCACATCAAATGGTTGTTCAATCTTCCTTATCAAGTTAGACTGAGGACCCTAAAATTATACAGTGGCCGGTACCGGCGCCTACGTGACGGCCTTATTACGGCCTACCAGATTCTAAGGTACCCCAACGACGTCTGCCCTCAGGTACTACAATTGAGCCACCACACGAAGTTAAGGGGGCCACCAGTTCAAGTTAGACACGAAATACAGTCGGCTAGAATATGGACGGAATTTTTAATCTCTTCTTGCGTGGCAGCCATGATATGTCCTCCCAACTTACGCTGTTTCCGCCCCCACTTTACCTATGTTTAAAAACCGCCATGATGTTGTCCTAACCCACCTACACTACGAGATACAGCCTGTGTGTCTCGACAGACGATATAATGCAACGAACGTTGCACAACCTTATTTAGCCTAAACTACTGTGGTTGGTTATTTCTGCGTGCCTCTGTACCAACAATATGGTTTTCATTTTACCCCTTTGTCTTCTGTTCAGCAAGTGTATCATTCTTTGGCCATCCTACGGGAATTGCAAAGCATACGCTTTTTGTCCGTAATAGACCATTGTTGCATTGTAAAGCGTAGATGTTCCTTCAACTCATCACAAAACCCTAATTGTTTAACTTGCGGTAGTTCGTGCTATCGGTCATGATGTGCAGTGCATGCGTAGAGTTAACATTATGCAGAGTATTAGCTGCTTTGCATAACGAAGTACCGCTAGTGATGGTACACCGATGGTCTCAAAATGCGCGAAAGCATCACCATGTATCTACAGTAAAACGAAGCCAATACAGGCGGTAAGAACTATGCTCGGTGTGTACAAAACGAGTTAGCTGCGGTAGTTTGAAAAGGTACTCAAGGAATACGCACCAATAGGGGTAAAACAAATAAACACAGTGAGTTGTATAACCTACGTTGGCATCCGGAGCGGCGCATCGGGAAAAATGATCTCAATAGACAGATGTCAAGTTCTTTGCTTATAACGCTTGAGGCTGCGTTGAAATTGGCTTCAAGAAATTCGCGCTGAAAGTTGAGGTAGAAAATAATCTACAATTAGTTAGGACGGAAAATTTCCCTCATAATTTCAAAAAGTGAAATCAGTTTACGCTTGTTATGACATGGCGTTTTCTTGCATCCTCTTCAACCACCTACACGTGATCAATAATAGCTTTCGAAGCGAGATCACTTGAGATTACATGTTGGACAAGCAGTGTCGACTGGTACGCTTCACGTTGACACGAAAGGTTCGAGATCAGTACCAGCTGTTACTTAGGCCTACAGTGGCTGCCGCTCTTCACCGATGGAAATATATTGAAGGAGTTTGCGAATACGAGGTCTTCGTTTACGCAGGATGGCTGTGAGTAATGCATAAGCTTAACCTGATGACAGGCTTTAAGTGTACTACTCGCGATCTAGTAGATCGCCACGCCTTCCGGATCACTTCCTTCAACAATCACATGTTCCAGCTGTTCGCAAAGTCATTGGAAATGAGTCCATCGATTGAGGCACCCAAACTGGATCAATGTTCTTAACGTAGCTGTTGGGCAAAGCATGTATTCCAATGTGGACTCACAAGAAGTGATATGTGCGATTAGTGAGTCGGATTGAATCAGGAAACATGTCTGCCTATGCTTGTGTCCGCACAGATGGACAGCCAACCATTTCAAGTGGGCATGATTTTGTGGTAGGTTACCACCAGTCTGTAGTGTGAAAATTCTAATAAAAATAGGCGAAAATAGAATGATTTCCTGTACGTAAGCATTTGATATCCCGTTTGTTTACAATAAACAGTATTATTCTAGTGTTTATTGGAATGTTGCCATTGAAATGGTTCAGTAAGTGGATAGCCAAGAGAACACAATTCAGTCTGTAGAAGCATACAGGCCAGGGATGTCCAAATTTCGGTGCTCGGGATAAATCCGGTCTACGTTATCATTTCCACTGGCCCGCGCCCTCATCATGAGATAGTAAATACAAGCATGAATTGTTTTGCACAAGCGACATTATTAGACTATAAAATTCAGGACGGTAAGTGCGAAATTTAATGGCGCAAGTTGCTGGTAAACATCAATGGTGCAGCACTGTTTATTTTCGACCAATTAAGAAAGTCAATCTAGTGCTATTATTAACGCGGTCTTAAGTAAGTAACAAAATAAAACAGGTGGGTTCGTTAACTTTGAGGCTAACCTGACCAGTATATCGAAGTCAAGATCTCAGTTTCATCGTTCCCGGTAACAACTTGTAAGTAAAAGTTTATAACGTATGCCATTTGTGAGTATCTAAAATTCCGATTGAATGTGGATCAACGTATTTTTATCACACAAAAGCTGGCCCTCTTTGCGAAACATTTGGACACCCCTGATATATATGCGATCTGTCGCGGATGTTGAAACAGTAAACCGGAACTTGCTGATGTTTGAGCGGTTGCCAATATGAAGGATGTGCGTGAATGTGACGGATAAGGCTTAACAAGCATATATACTGTCTTCCCTTACCTAAAGGTTAGAAAAATTCAGCCCTCATCAGATATTTTTGCCTTATTTGCGAATTCAAACGTCATTCAGTGAAACAAAATTGTAGCGACCTCGGTAGTTCGAAGAAAACCGTATGATAAAACATTGTTTATATTTCGAAACGCATTAACATTTGTTTGCACAACAGTGCTTTTATAAGAAGCCCCTTATGCCTATACAGATGGTAGGCTGCTGGGACACTATCTGATTTTGGTCACATGCAGAGGCAACAAAATATGGAAAATGGCGTCCTATGTCCATGTATGTTGTCACATATTATTATGCTTTTGTATCATCGCCGTTCTTTGTCTACGAGTCTTCACTTTTTAATAAAATAGTAATGTTAGTCAATACGAGTGACCGTTGTTGCGCTCTGAGTGACCACTTTGTGGTGCCTCTAGTCGTCTCAGTGGGCACTTTCAACGCGAACTGCGCTCACTCATCGGTGCAGCCTTCGAGTTTCAGTATTGCGTGGAGTTCTGCTTATTGTGGACGACATTTGCAACCAGGAAAATGTTAGAAAGATGTTTTCCTAGTGACCAGAGTTGGTCTCATTTGGAAAGCGAAGGGCTTAAAAAACGGTCACTCAGCTAGCTCCGATAGTCATCCCAGCGGAGATTTTTCGGTCATTCCTGTTATTCGGGACGACCATCAGACATTTACACAGCACCTGTTAACAGGTCAACCTGCTGCACTACTCACAACCATCCTGCGAAATCGAAGACCTCATATTCTCAAACTCCTTGAGGTTATACCACATTTTAGAAAATATTTGTTATTGTAATCGGTCGAGAACGACCGCCTCTGGACGCACAAGAAACAGCTAGTAGTGACGTCGAACCTACGGGGTCAGCGTGTGGCGGGCCAATCGGCACCGCTTGTCCACCAATCTCAAGTGATCGGGCTTTTAATGTGTGTATTGGCCGCGTGTCTGTGATAGAAGCGGAGGCAAGAAAATGCGAGCACACCTCGCGCTTTACGTTTTCTGATACGCTTAGTAAGCAGTTACAATTAACAATCACTATTATTATTTTCATTCCAGTCTTCCTCATCCAACTTTTCCTTCCCTTCTCATCCGCATCACTAACCGCAACTACAATATTAATAAATAATATCCTACAAAGTGGCAATTCGCAAACATATAAACCTGCTAAGAAAAATGCTTTAGCTGTGTAAGTAACAAGAGAGGTGAATGGAAAACTGGTACGGAATAACAACAAACTATGTAACTGGATATTGGGTGTTGTCCGACTGGAACTAAGTGACACGCACACGTTACAGAGAGAGCAAACAAGTTAGCGACACCCAGAGCAGATGGGAAGAGAAAAACTTTGTTCGCTAGATGTGCAAACAAATGCATCAATTAGAGACATACTCCATCTCGAGTGCCAACTGCTCTAATACCGAAATAGTCAAAAGCCTATTTCCCACTCCTTGTGTGCAAGTTGGTAAAAAGACTGCAGTATTTTGATATATTTGTTTTGTTAAACTATAGCTTGTTCGCAAAAATCCTTAATCAAGAATGCTGCAAATGTATTCCTTTATCGCTTTGTTTTGTGACCACAAGCAGTAGGTGCTATCTGCTCTATTATAAACCCATAATGGATTTGCACTCGCGCTACAGCACCGGATATTAACAAGAGTGACAAGTCAGGATAAAATGGTATCAGAACAATTTTCCCGTCATTTCCAGAGGAAACGCTGACAAGGAATGTTTGTGGCGCTGTAGAAAATGGTAAACTGATGGCATACTAACTTTTTGGTTGAAGACGAGGTGGATATCATCTCCACCGCACGGGAACACACAATGCTCCAGTGGAACAGGCCGAATATATGTGCTCACGACGTGACAGGGGCGATGGTGCAATGCGACGATCCATTCAGCAAACTGTATGGCATTGGGGATAGTGGCGCTGAGAAATACAAGGCCGACGTCATCTGGAAGTAAGATTATAGCCTCCTCCCAGACTACACCGCGTTCTTTGTTGCGAAGGTATTGAATCTCGTCAAAGATGACCCAAGCAACTCTTCGAGTGGCGTCAGATCCGCTGTGGAATGTGCGTACGCATGAAAGCAAATCAATAAGTGTTTAAGCGCAATTGCAGCGGCCCATGAAAGGAAATGTACAAACTTGTTGTTTATATTGAATAGGCCGAACTTCACGCCAACTGTAGACGGCTACCGCCAGGGAACTATCAAGGATAGTATCCAGTTGAACGGTAGCTTTTGTCGCCAAACGGTTTACCTGAAAGGTGGCCCGACCGTAGGTTATATTCGTCACAGCAGAGCCCTGAGCCGATGAGTACCGTGACAAGCTCACTACCCGATACCGTATCTGTGCATCTAAATTATGCTAAAAATTTTCGGGGAGGAGGGACCAGAGAGTGAATTCGTAATATTTGCTTGGACAATTAGTAACGAAATTGGCGAAATCATAAACCGTCAGGCAGAGTAAGTGACGACCTTGATTAGTATGAAACGTATACAGTACTAAGCGTACAGTGGGCACAAAAATTGTTTAACGAATAACGGTGTAAAAATTTGCCATCCGCTACCATTTGCTTACACGGCAAAATGTGGCTTAGCTTAGCTGCCGTGAAAGTCACTTGCTAGAGAACCTGCTATGCCCCAGAACGCGTTCAGTGAATGTCGGGGCAATCAACTACAGTAACTTTTAGTCATCATGAATTCGGAAAAATTAGTTTAGCAATAATATTATGCTTGTGAGTCGAATCCGCCGGAAACCTCGATTAAGGAACATTTGCTGGATACAGGGTGTGCTTTTGCTTAAACAAACCATCGTCACGTCGCTCTCAAGGATGAGCTTTATTGATCCATACCATTTTCGGATTGATTGTATCCACAGTGCAAATGAATTGATCCCTAAGCATCAGATTTGCATCCGTAAACCAATTGAACATAGTAGTTGATGCATTTGAATTGCATCCATTATCCTTCCGACACACCAAGCGCGCAGAGGCCTTGGAGCTGAGCCTGCCCAAACCAGCCAATGACGGCAGATATAATAACACTTGCATGGATAGCATGTTTAGGGTGTGCGGTGAATGCGCGTGGGCGGTCTAAACAACAAACAAAGAGCAGTAAATTTACACAGGTTGAGAAGCGCGGGTTTACAACTCCCGTTGGATAGTTGGTGGGGTGTCGAACTATTATTACTATTACCACTGTTACTATTAATAATAATACTAATACTGCCAATAAGAATAAGAACAAGAAGAAAAAGAAGAAAAAGAACAAGAAAACTAAACAGTTATTACTTATATCAGGAAAGGATGGAATGATCGTTCGCTCCGCTGTAGTTCTGCAATCCGCGTAGATTCACAGCACCCACAAGTAACAAAATAAATCCATAGTGAACTCCAGTAGTAGAGAGGCGACCTAGCTCTAAGTAACAAAGTCTACGTGGATGAGTGCGTCATTCAAGCGTCTTTTAAATACTGTTATTTTCAGCGTAGATGAATGATTCTGGGAGAGCGTACCACGGGTGACGGACACGAATGGAAAAAACATTCCTACGGCACTCCAGACGGCTATACTGTTCTGAAAATTTCAATGAGTTTGCTCGCAGGTCTGTATCACTGCTGAGTTGCAGTAAGGATCCGCACACATGATGTGACTCGTGCAGAATCAAGTATGCCATAATCAGGTCGTCTCGTAATCTGAGATACCGACCACTAAATACCCCCCGCCCACCGTTCCAGTGTCTACTCGTATGGGAATTTTCGCATTCCATTGACCTGTTAAGATGCCCGACCTTGAGGCTAATCCAGTGCATTAAGGTCATGTATCAAGTCAGGATGCTACGCTTGATTTGCTTACTCGACATGGAGGCGAACATACATACTGAGCACCTGCTGAAAAACTGAGCTGTCTATTTGCTCGGACGCTCTTCGCAACAGCCTGAGGTGTTGTTTTTCAGTCCTGGAGGCATTTTCGGATTTTCTGGAGCAGCGCAAGTCCACCGAAGTCACGTCCGACAGTTGATTATTGCAATACATTCGTTCCGAGCCGATATGAGTAGCTGCTCTGATGTCGGATGGAAAGTACCTTGCATTTGCTCACTTTCAAATGCATTAACTTTTGGGTTGACCATTGGTGTATCGTGTCTAGGTCACTCTGAATCAGATGCTGGTGGGCATCCACCTGAACCCTGCGTCAAATCTTGATATAGTCGGCGGTTGTATGTGTAAGGTCATTAATAGACACCAAAAACCAACGTGGACCTAGAACTGAGCCTTTCGGAACATCACTGTCGAATTACATGGGGTCTGATAAAGAGTTCCGAACTCCGACCACTAATTGCTATTGAACTAGAAAGCTGGTAATCCAGACTAGATGAGCATCACCGATCCCTCAATACCGGAGCTTAGAAAGAAGCATCCGATAGTCTAGATGATTGAAAACCTCCGAAAAATCCAGGCAGATCACATCAGCGTCTTGTCCCGCATCAGCTGACTCGATCCAACTGCTGTGTGCGATTAGTAAGTTCGTTGTGCATGATCGATGTCGATGGAAGCCGTGTTTCTCTGGGGTGATGATGCTGCGACATTTCAAATAACACACCAGTGTACGGACAACGATTGATTCCATGACCATAGAGAATAAACGGAGAAGAGATACTGGGCGGTAGTTGGAGGGCTAAGATCTGCTTCAACCTTCTGAATCGGAGTTAATATTCCACGCTACCACATAGCAGGAAGTTAGTTCTGGTATAAGCAGCGCTATAAAAAATTGTCTGCAGTTCCTGATAGTTAGTGTACTGCTACTGCCAGTGCCTCTGGATGAATGGCATCGACACCCGGCAAGCTGTGTTTGAGTAGAGACGTTAGCTTCTGCAATACAGCCTCCGCGATAAAAGTGCGGTGGGCTAGTCCTGGCGGGGGGACGACAAAGGCTGGAAGATCATTTGATGACATGTCCCTCTGGAACAAGGGGCATTTTGCCCCCGCAGCGCATTTGCTGCTTCAATAGCCATTCTTGTTGGGCCATCGGCCGTTCTGAGTGGAGGAAACCCTTGCCTCGCTTTTCGTAAACCATTGCTATGACTGTACAGCAGTTTGTGGTTAGCGCTAAAAGCCTTTGCGATGTTCTGCTGATATTTGGCTTTGTCTTATCTGAGGAGTTGAGTACAGTGCTTAAGTTAGGCTACGTAGTTTTCACAAGTTGCTGGCGTTGGAGCTTTCTGCGCAACCGCTATGCTGTGTTGCGTGCCGTCATCCATTTTCGAATACTGCTCCTAAAGGAACGAAACTGATTTACACTTATTACAAACTCTTATCTCTGAAGCATCCGCAAGTAGCTGATTGAATTTATTGATGAACCGGAAGGGGGAATTCCGGGGGTTCTTCGGCAAGTAACGACCAAGGTGTAGCGCTGACGAATTGAAATAATCGACCGTTGCTTGTGATGGTTCGTACGGTCTCATACTTCACATTCCGATGATCGGCATAGCAGACAAAGTTAAAACTGATGAGTGCGTAGTTATTGCGACGCAATAGGCAGTTTAAAACTAACACATAAATCATATGCTCCGCAATGGTAAGCACAAGATTCAGCATAGATGGCCTGTACCTGTTCCGAAAGGGATGTGCAAAGTGACGCGATTGTAAAGCGGAACAATGGTTACGAGCTCATGTTAAGCGGCTTTGAATTGCTTTCCCATCCTGGCAGGGGTTTCCAAACCATGTACATTGAAATAACCTATGATAAGGATGTGACGGTAACTTAGTTTTGGGTGCCCCTTAAAGCAGCCGCAAGGCGGCAGTCGGTTGCGGGTGTAGTAAAGAACTGTACACCAGGGAAATTAGGCGTGTAACTTCCTTTTAACTGCAGGCGGTATCAATGAGAATAGGGGAAATGCGAGTCTGGATACTCCAAGACTTCGCACTGTAAGGTAGCCACGAGTGCCTACTCTAAACTTAGTTCCACGAAGTCTAGGGACACAAAGTTGTCCAAAATCGTCGTGCGACTGGATGGAGGGTCGAGTGGAAGCAAGTGGACTACCATATATATAAAGACATGCTCTGCTCACGGCCACAGTGGAGGAGAGTTGCGAACACGGCAGTACGACACCCATTAGCAGTTTTAAGGCTAAGTTGGCATTGCGTTTGTGCCCACAATGCTTAGGATGACCTACCACATTCGGACTTCAAAGGGGTATACGACTGCACTGTGACCGGATATCAAGACAGTCACAGATGCATGACTGCAAATGGTCGGGGTCTGTGGTACCAAAATGTTATGAGATGCTTGTGAGTAAAGCGACAAAATGGGTCTGCGCAACTTGTCACTGAAATACTGGTAGCCTGGTGGCCGCTTTGGGTAAGAGAGGAAGGTCTTGAGCGGGACTCCGCTGAGTGGGCTAATGCCGAGATACGACTTGTGCAGTTTTGCTAGAGAATGGCACAAAAAGGCACCCTATACACGACATTCCGTGGGTGTTAAGAGCAGAATTATTATTTATTATTCCACATTTGACCAATATATAATTAGTAGTGCCGCAGCACATAGTTAATAACAGCAAAAAAGAGGAAATGGGCAGTCAGTGAAAGAATGTAGGGAGCTTAGAAGGCTAAAGACTGATACAACTGGGACCGACTAGCTTGCTCTCTGAAGGTTAACTTGAAAACCTGCTGCAATAGGATGCGAGACTGAAATCAGTCGAACCAAGCAGAGGCATGGCGGGGCATGATGGGGCTGGAAATACTGTAATGCCGATCAAACGCCACAGGCCAGACCAATAAGGCATGAGCATGTTGCCGGAAGCAGTGGTCAGCCTGTTGCGGGCCCGTCAAAAATCCCAGCAAGAAACGCGCCAGTAACTCCGGCATAATGGCTGTGGGAAGCGGAGTCCAATTTCTCCCCACAACGCAGCAGTGTTCAGCCACTCCGAGGCGTGTCCCAACTGCGAACCTTTTGACAATGCTCATTTGCAATCTACCACCTCTGCGTGGGGACTGTTTTCCCTAACTTAATAACCCATAGCACTGACTGTGATCGCCCTTTGTCGGTCGTGAAAGAGCCTACA